TTAACATATACTTTCTTAAGTCTGTTAAGTTTGCTATCTTTCTCTTTCTATGTATATAAGGAATACATTTCAGAATTGATCCAATATAAAATGGAAATATTTGGCAGATTAAAACTCCAAGTCCATATGAACTAACATCAAAAGTGACTCCATTTTGGAAAAGCCAAAAGAACTTTATTCCATACAGTAAATATATTTTAAATAAATGTAATGCCACTTGCAAAGTTACTTTAAAATAATGTTGCCATAATTTGTTTTAAAAGCTCAAAAAACGAGCAGCCCAAATAATTGGAGTTTCTCATTTGAATATTCAATACCACCACCCAAAGTCACAACTCAGGACACCCATCAATCCATTCTGTCAATCCAACCCTACACCCAAACCATCAGCCTCTTATCAATAACAAAACACTCTACAAGAGAGCATCTCTAAGCAGATCACTGCCAATTCTCTATGGCAGAATGTCACAGAAAGTTCCTGAGGACTGATTTTCGAATGGGACCATCACCCAGGAGTCATTTTTAGAAATCATTTTAAGGTCTAGAATTATCCTGAGCTTTTCAGGTTTAAACTTTTTTTAAGAGGACAAAAAAACAGATATTTGTTACTACGGTACTTAACACACATTTGTGAGACAATTCAGTTCTCTCTCCCAGAATCTGGATAGGCACACAAAACACAGAGGAATAAAGTTTCCATCTCTGGCCCCAAGGGGGGAGGACACATTTGTTTATGAACAACACTCCCTAAGGGTAAATATTTCTCTCCCTCTTTAAAACTTCAAACCACCTACAACCAACCATATTAAGATGTTCAAATTTGCTTACGCCCTTAACCATGGGACTTCTGGATTAAAAAAAAAAAAGCAGCTGTTACAAACCAAACACTTTCAAATTACTGAGAGATGTGGATTTCTGTCTATCAGAAACTAGACAGGCCACAAACTCTCACGGAGTGTGACATTTATTATCGTTTCAGACAATACAGTCTAACTAGTCCCCTTATTATGCCACCTAATCAGACCTAAGCTGATTTAACAATCACTTTAAGAAGCTAAAAGTAGAAAACTAAAAGCAAAACGATGACTGATTTAGATTAAGAAAAAAATGTAAAATTTAGTATGCTCAAACATACATTTTCATTGGTAAATCTAAGACAAATTGATGTACTGTTCTGAAACAACTAAGACTGCATATTCAACACTAAGAAGGCTTCAAAATAATGAAATAAGAATATCAAAATCAAACCCAATATGCCCTCGAAGGGAAAGTAACAAACATTCAGCTCTACATAGATCAGAAACAGTATTATTTAACCTTAAAAAAATCTATAAAATTCAAAGTGGTTTGCCCTCACTTTCATAACCAGTCAGAAACAAGAAATGCATATTATACCTGTCTGAAATATTTCATCAAGTCTTTCTGCCACCTTCTGTGGGAGGCCTGCCTCTATCAGTGTCTTGTAGTGTTCTGTGTGAGTTACACTGGAAGTATCCATTGGTTCTTCCTCTTCTTTTAACTGTACCGCATTACCATTCACCTGATTAGCCATTTTATTATGCTGCTGGAAAAAATTCAGGAGCTATATTACATTAAGCCAGAAATAACTAGTTTGTAGGACAATGCATGATTTATCTAAACTAATTTGTATACATGCTGCTAATAACGTCTGTCAAAATAATATCTTATGCCTTTAGTGATGTATCTGACCTAAATTTCCAATAATTCTGTAAAACCATAGAAAATGTACATGGAAGCATTAGATCTTTAAGGAACTTCATGTACACTAGGTTAAATAAAGGCTTGAATTTACTGAAGATAGAATCACTGATTAACAAAAGCAGCTGTTGTGTCCTTACGAGCATATCAACAAATCACCACAAAATCCTAAAAAGCCCCTCAGCTCTCAATTCTTATACAGTTTTTAAAAGTTTGGTTTAAAAACAGAATGAACACCCATAGATCACTTAATCAAGGTTTTAAGGACTTTCAAATTTTCCTAGCTCTGCTTCAAATGTAAAATAGATGGAAAATAAATGCCCTGTTCAACACGTCTCTAGTTCAACATGCTGGTGGTTTGGGTTTTCTTTGCCTCACTTAAAACAAAACAAAAAAACCACAACTTGACATTAATTTTTGTTCTAAAATTAATTTGCTATTCCCATTCACAGATTTAAAAGAAAAAATGACCAAGTATGAAAGCTAAACAATTGTTTTAAGTCCACACAAAATAAAAAGTGAGCTATAATTGAGTTGCTTCTTTAAAAAAAAAATCATGAATACATATTGAATTTTTCATATCAATAAAATAAAGCTGCAAAAACATAATGAAGAATGGACAACTAACTTCTTCCAAATAGTTTCAATACACATTACCTAATTAGGGTAAACTTAGGTCAGATGGCTCAGATTAACCTACCCAAATCATTCTTTCTGTATGTTCAACCTGTATGTAATGCTGAATTGGACCACCTCTCTGAGGAGAGATTAAATAATAAAACCATTCAAAGCCAGTCTCTATACTGCCTCAAAAGAGGGAATTCAAGATAAAGTGCATTTGTCTGTGAAATCATAATGTGATGAAGATAAGCAGAACAAAGACATTGCAACAAATACTGAAATAAAGGACATGAAGGTGGATCTCAAGAAAAAGCGTACTTTTCTTGATGAAACTCAAGATGCTTAGTCAGCTACAGAGAAAATGCAAGTTTCCTAAAAAGCACTAAAACCTGTAAGATAACCACACTTCCAGATTGCTTAACAAACGCTGTGCAAATGCACCAGGTGCAGTTTTCTGACTTAAAACAACATCTTCTCATTTCAAAGTCCCTGGTACTTTGAAGTTAATGAAAAAGAGAGGAGGACCCAGAGGTAGGAGGTAATAGAGTAGGAAGAGAAGAAAATGCAGAAAGGGTTATTCTGAAAATGAGATAAACATCATCATGACTTCTTATGATCACAAAACATTAGGACTTGATAGCCCACCGATGTCTATACAGACGCAGACTGTGTGGTTCAACTCTGGGTGGATGAACGCTTCTCAAGGCAAGCCTCAAATTCTGATGAACTGGCAAAACCGAAAACATTCGAAACTGGCACACTTTTGATCAAGAAACTAGTCACGGTCTAAGATGAACACGTTACTGATTAATACAACCCGTTTCTATAAAGATGCACCCTAAAGTCCGAAATCTCTTTGAGAACGTAAGAGTTCTGCTTTCCCACGCTCCGCCACCCCAAACACGACCGTAAGATCATCAGAACTCACAAGTTCCCAGCACCACAAGACCCTCACAGCATTGCACCTGGGAATACTATCAGTCACAGAAAGAAGGCAAATTTTTTTTAAAAAAGTTCAATGAACATCGGTTAAGGTGGTATTCTTTTCAAGTATGTGTAAAGCAAAAAGACGAGTTGTGGATTAAGCACAAGACAGAAATATTTATGACTGCCATTTCACCGGAAAGGCTCTCTACCAGCTGAATTCCGAAACTGGCAGAAATTTTCAAAAAAAAAAAGTTTGTAAACTTTTAAGGGAATAAAAGTAAAATAATTAGACTGCAGATAATAAAACTTTTCAGATCAAGGGGGAACACCTCTCTCTTCGAGCCACAGACAATGTGCTCATTTAAAAAAAGACTTTTACGTTCTAGGAGACCGTTTTAAAACTCGTGTTGTCAATTCCACACGATGCCACACAGCCAAACCATATTTCTGGATGCAGCAAATATACTAAGCCTTCCTGCCCAAAGTAGAAATTTCAGTGAGGTTTTCAAAGGGCTGCCGGGAGATTCGGGAAGTCGGCCCAGCCCCTCCCTGGCCTTTGCGGGACCGCTCGTGCCGACGCACCATATTAAGAACGGGCCTTCAAAGAGCCCACGAAATGAAAACTAACGGGCACCTAATGGCCGAGGCGCGTCAAGCCCTCATCCTACCCCTGACTCAGGACACACACGCTCGGCCTCTTGAGGACAGCAAAAGTCGGCACAGGTGGCGCGAAAGGACCGGACCGCTCAAGAACCCCTCGGCTTTAACTTTTCAATTTTGGCCAAGAATCGCCTTTCCGATGCGCCGCGCCGGCGACATGCTCGGAACCGGCGACCTCGGGCGCCGCCGGCCCTAAGGTGCGTGGCCTCTAGCAGTCATTTTTTCCTTCAAATCTCGGCCCGCGGCGCGCGGGGGGAGAGGGGAGGCCGCCTCCGCGGAGCGGCCCCCGCCTCCCGCTCGCACCAAAGTTTCCTCCCGGCTCGGGCACCCGGACTCGCCTCCCGCCTCCGCCCGCCCCGCGCCCTCCGCCCGCCCCGCTCAGCCACACATCCCACTCGCGGCTGGGCCGGCTGCGACCGGACCGAGGCGGCTCCGGCGGGGGAGGCCGGGGGGCCGCGGGCGCCTCAGGCCGCCGGCCGGGCCGCGTGGAGCGGCGGGCGGAGGCGGGAAAAGCACAGCCAGCCCCGGCAGGCCGCGCGGAAGGGCGCCCGGCGGGCCGGGAGTCGGAGGGGCGGGGGAGGCCGAGCGAGGGCGCGGAGGCGCCGCGGCGGGGCTAGGCCCTCAACCGCACGGCCGGACGAGGCCGAAGCCGCCCCCGGCCCGTCCCCACCCCCACCTCGGGGCCTCGGAGCGAAAACGAAACTGGGGACAAGACGCCGGGCCCGGGCCGGGCCGAGTCGGGTCGGATCGGGGCGCCTGGCCGCTTCCCCCACGGGCCGGCGCGAGACTCACCCGGGCAGAGCTGGGGCCGGCGGCCGGGCCCGTGAGAATCAGCGCGAGGCGCTTTGAAAACGACTAGAAATGGCGCGCGCGCCACCCCCTCCCCCCCTCATGGACAGAGACGCGATCCCGGCAGCACGCGGGGTTTCCCGGAACTGCTTCCAGGGACTCAGAGCGGCCGGGCAATCACGTCGCGCGGCGGTCTGAGGGGCAGCTCAGACGACCAATAGGAGCGAGAAGAGGCGCACGACGCCGGACGACTCCAGAGCCAATCAATGAGGCCGTCGGCTGAGCCAATGGGGGAACGCAGCGCCGCCGGCTGGGGCGCCTCCGGGGCGGGGGCAGGAACACAAAGGGGTCTGTGGTGAAGCCCCGGGTAGAGGCGAGGCTGCGGGGCACCAGGCCCCGGGCGGCCGAGGCTCCTCCCTCCTCGTCTGCCGCCGACGCGAGGCCGAAGACGTAGGCCTCGCGCCGCGTGGCCGCCTCCGGAGCCCCGCCCCCCTGTCGGCGCCGGCCTTGCTCCGCCGCGGACCTCCCGCCCCTTCGCCGGCGCCGCAGAGCCCCCGATCCCCCCTCGCGCCGCTGCCGCCGGCGTGAGCCCCGCCACGCCCCCGCCACGCGGTCGGGCCTCCCGCTAGGTCGCCTTTTGCGCGGTAGAGCCGGAGTTAAGGATGTTGGGCTCGTCGTTTTGCTGGAGAATTTCGGGTAGAAAATCACCCTTCGGGACGATCGGAAAACTGCACCCCCGCCTCCCTGGCTGCCTTCCGTGCCTCGCTAGGGCCGCTCCGAGCGTGAGGGGAATCGCGAAAGTGGCCGTTGCTCCAGAGCAGCGGCGCCCACAAATGACAGAGCAGGGACCTCTTTTCCACAGGGTTTGTAGCTGATTAACATTCATAAAGTAGCTGGGCAGACAGATGTATCTATGAAGCCAAAAGAGCCATGCAGGGAAAAGGGCTTATTCCCAAAGGAGATTTCTCACCCTCCACCCCGCGGGTTTGTTCCCTGTCCTCGCCTTCGTCCACAGCCCTCCAAGCTTTTTTCCGAGAGCCAGCCCCCCACCCCAACCCCAGCCCCCAACGCCCCACCGCTCTCCGAGGGGAGGAGGTCGAGAAGAGGTCTGCAGAATTTCCAGATACACTTCGAGGATCGTTTAAATTTCCCAGTACCTACCAACAAAAATTAATTATTGACAACCTATGTGCCCGATACTGAGCTAAATGGACCCAAGTTTTGTATTATGGGGTGTGAAACTTTACACAAGTGCTGGGATCGATAAGAAAATAATATAAAATGACAAATTTAGGAACAGTCTTGGAAGGGCGTGGGAAAGGGGCTTTGAAGCTTAAACTTTATTAGCTTCACATAAACCTGCCTCTAGCTAAAGGGTTCTTCACCGATTTTGTATTATTTGACAGTCTGGTAAAAGCTCGATCTCGTCTAAGTTTTTAAATAAAATACATAGCACTACAAAAGAAACTTTATATTGAAATACGGAAATATATTTTAAAAACAAATTTGTGATATAGTAATCGAACACATTAAATGTCAAGATCTTGTAGCAGATCAAACAACCACTGAAATTTTAAAGGAATGAGAAGATATGTCAAGAAATCTATGATAACCATAATGTGATATGAAATTGTCTGATTTCTATTGGTGACAGAGTGAAAGGTACTGCTAATTCTAGTGTGCTTTGTTGCCTACATTCACAGCGGGGAAAAAATGCTAAATTTCAGCTGGATATTAGTGAAAATAAAGATGTTATTTTTTTTTCCTTCCATGTTGAAGGACCAATGAATTCCATTTAACACAGGATAAGAACTCCTGGGCTGGACACTGCAATTAAAGTGATTCTGTCACCCAATATTTTCCGAGATAATATTTCAAATATTTAGCCATATATAGTGCTCATAAGTATATTCCACCTTTTCAGACCATGTATCTTGACTTTTTCTTTGTTTTTCTTTAAAGATTTTATTTTTCCTTTTTCTCTCCAAAGCTCCCCCGGTACATAGTTGTATATTTTTAGTTGTGGGTCCTTCTAGTTGTGGCATGTGGGATGCCTCCTCAGCATGGCTTGATGAGCGGTGCCATGTCCATGCCCAGGATCCAAACCAGTGAAACCCTGGGCCGCCGAAGCAGAGCATGCGAACTTAACCACTCGGCCATGGGGCTGGCTCTCTTGACTTTTTCTTAATTTGGAAAGCATGATCTTCTGATCTTTGCATTTCCAAAAAAATTGTGTGTGTGTGTTTGTGAACTCAATATTCTACAAATATTGTATGCCCTCCACATTCAAATCACTGTGTTAAGGGCCAGTCCCAGTGGCCTAGTGGTTAACTTCGGCACACTCCACTTCAGCAATCCTCGGCTGGTTCCAGGGCACCAACCTACACCACTCATCTGTCAGTGGCCGTGCTGTGGTGGTGGCTCACATACAAAAAGAGGGAGACTGGCAGTGGATGTTAGCTCTGGGTGAATCTTCCCCAGCAAATAAATAAATAAATAAAATCACTGTTACAAGTAGGGAATATAAAATGAATAAAACACCATCTCTGTCCTCCAGCTGACAAGGCAGGATAAGTATACAAATAAACATAGTAAAAATGAATTACTAGGGAGAGCTCCAGCTACATCTCTAATCTTTTGAGATTAGGTAATGGTGCAGCCAGGCCATTCCACAACCGTTTTCTGTCACAGACCCACTCTGTGGTCTGAGCTAGTATGTGAATGAACATGCTTTGCTTTTTAAAACAATTACAGGGCACCAGAATATTCAAATTGAAGCTCGGACTTTTACTACTTACAACCTGAAGTAACAAAGAATGTTTAAATCATCAAACTTTTTTACTGCATCCTTAGATTAATCTTGTCCCTGAGATGATTCTTAAAGAAACATTTAGTCTATTCTTCTGACTCCGAACAAGATTACATAAATTCAGCCTTTTCAAAATGCCTTCATTTGCCACTAACAAGAATAAGCCATGCTAGCCACAGTTCAAAGGCACAGGCAGGGGGAAGGAATAAACAAACAATGTAGAATGGAAGAAAGAGGAGAGGAAGATGAAGAAACACCATGTGTGGAATGCTAGTGGAAAGGGTGTCAACAACCAACCCTCACAAACATTTAGGTGCCAAGAGTCCTCCACTCAGCCTTACTCGAAAACTTCAGTTCTACCATGAATTCTCCCAATGTCAAATACAACTATTTATTTTCTTCCTCAAACTTTAATCATTTTTATTATTTTAAGGCACTTTGCAAAGCCGTGGTGCTCTAATCAAGATTGACCAGAGCTGAAGGCTCTTTGTCTTTTATTCATACCTCCTAGGATTATGCTTCTTTCATTTTATTTATTTATTTGTTTATTTATTTATTTTGGTGAGGAAGATTGGCCCTGAGCTAACATCTGTTGCCAATCTTCCTCTTTTTTTCCTCCCCAAAGCCGCAGTACATAGTTGTATATCCTAGGTGTAAGTCCTTCTAGTTCTTCTATGTGGGATGCCACCCCAGCATTGCTTGATGAGCGGTGCATAGGTCTGTGCCCAGGATCCGAACCAGTGAACCCAGGGCCGCCTAAGCAGAGCACACAAACTTAACCACTATGCCACCAGGCTGGCCCCATGGATTATGCTTCTTTTAAAAAACAAAGTGCATGTGGCTGATTTGCAGTAGCTTGTAGTCAACTGACCCCAAGACCTTAATGCACACCTGCTTTATCATCATATTTGTAGCAATTTTTCTGTTGAAGATTATCCTTGAGCTGACTTGTTGAATTCCCTTCTAATTCTCAAATTCATCAAAGCTGTTTTAATATGGAAAGAAAGTATATCTCCATCTTAGTGGCACAACGTTTCAAACAATAAATCACTACCATTTACTGAGCTCCTACTGTGGGTCAAGTGTTTTACTTAGGCTATTGCTGATATTTACATGAAACTTTCAAGGTTAGTAATATTATCCCATTTTATGGAGGAAACAAAGCTCAGAGAGGTTAACACATTTGCTCAAAGTCACACAGCTGAACTAAGACTCAATCACAGGTCTGTGTGACTCCAAAGCTACTTCACCAAGCAACTTTTCAAGTAAAGTCTCAGTGTTGGCAGATTCTTCACTTGTAGAGGTATATATTTTTACCAGTCAAAAAGTCACCATTGTCAATTTTATGAATAAGTTAGAAAATACTATTTAAGAGTCCAAAGCAAATTGTGGTATAAGATAATTAGAACATTTTCCTTATGTGGTTTGCAAATTGGCTTTACAATGCAATTTGAACTTGTTTCGAGAAATGACAGTATCCAAGAACAAAATTGTGGCCTCACAAGGTCTCAACATTCAGGAGCGACAGTCCTTTGGGCAGGTTTGTTAGAAAAGAAGACATCTCATAAAGATTATAACTACGTGGACTTCATAATAGTAGTTAATATTTGTTGAGTGCTTGCCAGGTTATCTTATTGGATGCTCACAACAACATACGGCACAAATACCAAAAGATATCATCTCCCCTTTGCAGATGAAGAAACTCAGGCCCGAGTCAAAGCTGAGACAAACTCTGGCGTAACTCCAAACACCAATCTCTTAATCATCATGCTACACAGCTAGAAGGGGTGAGTTCAAAGGAATAAAGTTAAACTGCCCTCTTTTTAAGTCTTTATATTTCCAAACCTGATGTTGGTAGTTTCTGATTTTAAAATTCCTTTTGTCCTTAATTTTTTTTTTCATGAGTTCTCTGTTCTCCTTGGACTCTGTTGAGGGACTATGGATAAAGTGAAGTGAGAAAAGAAAGATAACAGAGTAAGCTCTCCTTTCCAACCTTCCATTCCCTCAGTCAAACTCAAGAAAGCAAGAATCAACTTTTGAGTCCAATTAGGATTGTTAAATCCAATTTAAGAGTGATAGACACTTGGTCTCATGGAAGAATTTAACACAGCCTTCTTTCGCTTGGCTGCAGCGGCATTCCCTGGCCGCTCACCAGCAGGACCTTGGTGCATCTACCCACTGCCACTGAACTCTGCAGCCGTTTAAAGAGACAGGCATAGGCAGCAACAGCAGCTGCTCCTAAAGTCCAGAAATGAGATTCTAGGATTTTGTTGAACATAATATCTGGTCCATTAAGTTCTAATTATTTTAAGGCTTCCCTATAGTCAGGCAGAAGAGCTATACGCTGCAAATCTTTTATGGAAGTGTTACTGTAAGCTTTTAACCAGGGGCCGGCCTGGTGGTGCAGCAGTTAAGTGCACACGTTCTGCTTCGGCAGCCCGGGGTTCGCTGGTTCAGATCCCGGGTGTGGACATGGCACCGCTTGGCACGACACGTAGGCGTCCCACATATAAAGTAGAGGAAGATGGGCATGGATGTTACCTCAGGGCCAGTCTTCCTCAGCAAAAAGAGGAGGATTTGCATCAGTTAGCTCAAGGCTAATCTTCCTAAAAAGAAAAAAAAGCTTTTAACCAAAATCTAGTAGAATTCTAAGGTAAGTATTATTACCCATGTTCAAATATACAAGTTAAATATACTTTTAACACAAATCAGATTCAACAAGGATTGTGAGTCCTGCTCCCTCCATACTATAACTTATGTTTTGTTCTGAAAATTCAATAAAACAGGAAGAATTGATTTGTGAAAATTAGTAAAAGGAAATCTCATTTGAAATGGACTCAGCAGGCCAGAAGGGGGAGCTCCTGTGCAGTACCACTCCAGATCAATTACAGGAAAGATAGTCAATTACAGACCCCAACAGAAAGAAGTCATTAACAGGAAGACAGTCAGTTATAGACGCCAACAGAAAGAAGTCAACAGAGACGAATCATCAGTTACAGGAAGAAATGTACATTGCATCCCAAGCAGAAATCCGCTACCCCAGTAACTAAGCCAATGAGAACCTATCACCCTAAACTCTCACTTTCCTCCAATGGACTTTCCTTCAAAACAACCCCTCCCAACTTCCTCCTTTTTCCCTGTAAAATAATGTTTCTCTCCCTCATTTGTTGGATTTGCCTATAGTCTGCCATAGCATGCATATCCTGAATTGCAATTCTTTAGGTATTGCCAAATAAACACTTTTTCCTAGTAAACTAACTAGCTGTTTTATTATTTTTTAAATATTTTATTTTTCCCGTTTCTCCCCAAAGCCCCCCGGTACATAGTTGTGTATTTTTAGTTGTGGGTCCTTCTAGTTGTGGCATGTAGGATGCCGCCTGAGCATGGCCTGATGAGCGGTGCCATGTCCGTGGCCAGGATTTGAACCAGCGAAACCCTGGGCCACCCAAGTGGAGCATGCGAACTTAACCACTTGGTCATGGGGCCGGCCCCAGAGCTGTTTTATTTTTAAGGTTGACAGATTATAAGTAGACTATGTGTACATAACTAAATTCTCATTACCCTTAAGTTAAAATATCCATTAGAAGAAGGGGACAAGTGCTCTCTAATTATCATTGATAATAATATAATATCTTATACTTGTGTAGAATTTTTTCATGTACAAAGAGTTTCAACTACAGTATCTCACTAGACATCTTTGCTCCCTTTGGACATCTTGAAATGTGTCACATTCTTGACCCTGTGACTCTCCTCTCCTGATTCTCTGGGTTCAATAATACTTCCTTCTAGGTCCTCTCCTCTGCCTGTCGTTTTTGGTGTCCCCAGGATTCCATCCTTGACACTGTTCTCATGCTCCATCAGGGCCACCCACTCACTTGCATAGTTTTCACTACTACCATCCTCATTCTAGCTGTTCCCATTTCTTTATCTGCAGCCCTGCTTTTGGTCCTGAGCATTGGACTCATTTTCAACTACCTGCTGGGCATATGAATGTATGTTTGGGTATGACAGGTTCTTCAACTCACAACTCGTCTCTGAAGATGGTTTTTCTCTCTCACCATATGCCTCCTTCCTCACTGAGTTCCAGCCATGCCAATCTGGTGGTGGTTCCTCTAGTCTGCCAGCCGCTGCCTCAGCCCCCTTACAGTCGCTCTTCAGGAAATTAAGTACTTAGAACTCTTTCCCCCAGATGTCCTGACAACTCATTCAGAACTCTGCTCTAATGTCCCCCCTTTAGAGAGGCTTTCCTTGACCACTGTCTCTAACATAGCCGTCCCCTTTCACTCCCCTTCTTTTACTCAATTTTTCTTCATTGTACTTGTTACCACTGGACATTATATATGTCTGTTTATTGTCCATCTCCCCACCAGAATGTAAGTTCAATATGGGCAGAGTCTTCATCTTGTTCAGTCACATCTGAGGTACATAAGCTGGTGCTCAACAAATTTTTGTTAAATGACTTAACTTGTAACCTTTATATCTGCCCCAGACTCCTCCTCTTTGTGTGCCCTGGTTCCATTCATAGCATACTCCTCCATCCAACAAATTACTCACCTCAGAAATCTGGACTTTGTAGGTTCTGACTCCTGACCATAAGTCACTCATGGAAGTGTTTGATAGCATACCTCGAACCAGGCTGGAGCAAGAGCACAAAGGGAAGCCTGTTCTAGCTTTGTCCTGTTCCAGGAGGGCCCTCATGTCCACATCTCTGGCTACCTAACCTGCAGGTCCCAGCTCTGTCCATCCTCCCAAACTGAAGGCCTAGAGATACACATAGGCGGCTTGGTTTGCCCTCGAGAAAACAAACCTGGGGAGGAAGCGCGCTGTTTGGGCAAATAATTCCAAGGTCCTAGATACTTGGAGTTTGTGATCCAGAAGTGGAGAAAGAGGTATGAGCTCTGGATGGCCATCTACCCTTGGCCCCATGGGAAAAGGTGCAACTGGAGGAGAGCCAGCTCAGGGGCGTGGCCCCATTGCCCCCGTCTAATGGCAGTACTACCCGGGCTAAACCCAAACTCCAATAGAGCAGCTGTAACCAAACAAGACTGAAAGCGTGCTTCATCCCCCCCTTGCCTAAAAACCAAAGGTTAAAGTTTTATGACTCAAGAGGTATCAACAGAAATTTAGAAAAGGAAACCTTGGGTAAAAATCCTATCAGAAAACTGGACATCAAACTTTAAAACCTGGGTTCTTTGAAAGACACTATCAAGAGTGAAAAGACAAGCTAAAGATGGAGAAATATTTGCGAAACATATACCTGATAAAGGACTTGTATCCAAAATATATAAAAAACTCTCAAAACTCAATAAAAACAAAGGATCTAAAACTTTCATTAGGCTCTCAAAGGAATCTGGATCCTCCTCAAAATATTAATACTATTAAAACTATTGGGGTTTTTTTGTTTTGTTTGTTTCGTCTTCTTCCTCAAAGCTCCCCAGTACATAGTTGTTGATTCTAGTTATAGGTCCTTCCGGTTGTGCTATGTGGGACGCTGCCTCAGCATGGCCCGATGAGCAGTGCGATGTCCACGCCCAGGATTCAAACTGGGAAAACCCTGGGCCACTGAAGTGGAGCGCACGAACTTAACCACTTGGCCATGGGGCCAGCCTCAATAACTATTGGTTTATATGCTCAGCTTGGAGAATTCAGAGATTGACCAAATGCCCAATCTAGAGCAGGGAGCTTAGAATCCTGCCCAAGCTCCCTGTATTGAGTGTCTGCCTTGCAACACGTCTGCAAAGTTGTCAGAGTCTATTCCTAGATAACCCTCCAAAGATGACAGTGGTTCCTCAAGTACAGGAGCTGTGAGGGTGTCTTTATCCCAGCTTCACCTGGGGCGGGGGTGGGGGCAGTGTCTTAGATGGGTCACATTGACTCTGGGAGCCTTCTTCCTCTTGCATAAGGCCCCACAGATACACAATGACAGAATTTCTACAGTTCTTTTATGAGTAGCTTGTGTGGTGACAAATAAGAAATGAATTCACCAGCCCTGCTGAAGAGAATGAAGTTTATACATATCCTTCTCTCATTTATCCAAGAAATATGTGTTGCTTGCCTACTCTAAGTCAAATTGTGCCAAGGGTTGAAGATACAAGGGTGAGCAAGACACAGTGACTTCTTCAAGGATAACAAAGTCTAATGGAGGAGATGAAAAAGGAAACAAGCAATTACAAAACAGGGATAAAGCACTTTAATTGGGCTGAACCCAAGGAACCCTGAAAAGGAACACCTGACCCACTCTTGTGGGATCGGGAAAGCTTTCTTAGAACAGGTTAGGTATGAGACCTGAAGGAAGAGCAGGAGTTGACCAGAAGAGTGGAGAGACATGCAGCCTGGAGAGTGCTGCAGGTGCAGAGAACTGAAGCCGAGGAGGGCAGCAGAGGCCAGATGACGACCTCCTCATGAATCACAGTGAAGCAGTTTCACCGTGTGCTGCTGGCAATGGGAAGCATGAGAAGGTTTGACACAGAAGAGCAGCACAAAGGGATTTGCCCTTCAGAAAGATCATTCTAGCTGCGGCAAGGGAGAACAGACCAAAAGGAGTTGAAAATAGAACCGAGGAGATTCGTTAGGAGGTTGTTTCACGAGCCGAGGTGTGGCTTGCTGATGGCCTGAATAATTGCAGCTAATGTTTTGAGCCTCATTAACTCATTTAATCTTTGCAAATCGGTGAGGCAGATACAATTATCCCCATTTTATGGATGGGAAATCCAAGGAACAGAAAAGCAAAGTAACTTGCCCAAAGTCTCAGGGTAAGTGATGGTAATAGAGAGAGAGCTAAGCAGATTGGAGAAATATTTAGGAGGTGGTATGATCATGACTGAATCACTAATTATTCAATTAATTTTCATTATTTTTACTTATATTGTTGATTTTGGGAGGTTGGCCAAAGGAGCAGTTGTTGTCCAGTACGATAGGCAATTTTCTAGCTTGGATACCTAGGCAATGACGGAGTTAGGAAATGCAGGAGAAGCAGGCGGGCAGTAGTGGAAAAAAGTGGTCAGGTCAATTCAGCGTGGGGTTGGATTTCAAGGTGCCTGGGGGTAATTTCCAAGTGGAGACGTTCACAAGGCAGCTGGAGGGGATGGTGTGAAACTCAAAGTGAGATTCTGATGTCATCGGCCTCAATCTCTCCCAGAAGGAAAAACAAAACCACTTTTGGAGAAGCTGAAAATGACACAAGCATTCAGGAAAACAGATAATACAACAGGATTAGCTACAAAACAATTTTAGGTCATTACAGGGTAGTTTTCTTCTATTAATTTTACTCCCCAATTGTTTTCCACTAACGACCTTTTATCTTGAAGTCTCCTGTAGATAAGAGGCCAAGCCTGCTACTCCTCAGCAGAGATGGGCATCTAACCAAGGCTTCAAAGAGTCCCTTTCTCCCAGGGCACAGGAACTCCTTTTCGAACAACACTAACTTTTGAAACACTAGGGAACCATTTAACAAATTATCATTTCACTGCGCTCAGTGGTGTCCTAATGGCCTGGAAGCACAGCGCTACCAACTGTTAGCCTCCTAGAGAACAGCTCACACAGAAGGAAACCTGCTACCCTTATAACAATGGCGAAATATTAACATATCAAATACCCTTAGAGGGGAGGCTGCAGGTGAATTTCTCCAGATGAACCAGCATTTTCCTTGAACTTTCCTTCTCAAGAAATAAAAAATGCTGAACATGTAGAAAGGAGAAAAAGAGTTTTAAAAAATGTTTTGATAATATCTTTTTCTTTTCCAAGTCTTGGCTATTGGGTTAATGAAATTTTTTCTTTGCTATTTGCATTTTTTCCCAATTTAAAGCTCTTCCACTACCCACCTCTGCCTAGACTGGCTCTCCATTTAAAAAAAGGGCTTCATAAGAGAAAATTACTTGTAAGTAATTTGAAAATTGTGGCCACACCCTGGTAGCACAGAATCAAATCACTGCCTTAGGCAGACTGTGCAATTATGTCATGAATAGAGAGCTTTTGACTGTTTCTAAGAGTATCTCTGTTCTGGGATCCCAATACCAGCTCCGTAGAAATTGTTTTAGTACTCTTAACAGATACTCAAAAATAATCTCCTTAAAGCAACAAGGCCTCCTCTCATTTTTCTTCTTGGATGTGGTTGTTTTCTGTTGTTGTCTTTTTTTTTCATTCTCCAAAGCCAATGAATCACCCATACCAAATATTTCCACATTGCTTTGCCTCCAGCCTAATATTCATAGGAAACTGTCCAGTTTTTGCATCTCCCCAAAATATGGCAATATCCAGAGAGCCCACTAATGTGTGAAGACACACTGTACTTCCAAATTTCCACAAGAACATCTGTACAAATGCATCCGTGTAAAGACAATTGTGCCCAATTTTAATGAATCTGATGAAAAGACATTTTATGAACCAGTGCTGGATTACTAAAATAATTCTCAGTTTTTTGATTTTAAAAATTATACTTTTAATTATAGAATATTATTAGAATAATACAGATGTAGATAGACACTAGGATAACTGTGACCAATACCATAAGGAAAACTGCTCTACATACTTACTTGTTCACTCACTCTCCACAACCATAGAAAACAGGCACAAAGTGTTCAGGGGATGTGCAGAAGCAGCAGCGACTTGGGAGCAGAAGGCATGCAAAAAGCATTAGCAAAGAGAGTCCAATGCCTGACTTCTACACAAAGTTCAGCACAGCAAATGGGCAGCAACTGGCAGAAAGAGAGGAGACTGAGCTGGTCTGGCCCTAGCCCTCTTAACTTCTCAGCTGGAGTGTAGATGTATGGAGAGATGGCTGGGGCATTTAGAAGCCAAAAGCAGCAGCAGGAACAGGCTAGGGTGGGGCAGGAGAGTAGGGAAGGAAAAGGGGATGAAATACAGTTGGGTCATGGAGACGGTGTCTCCCACGGCCACTCCAAAGCTCATGCCCGTAGTGGCATCCAGAAACAACAGGAGAACTCTGATATTCACTGCAACCATCAGCAACACTGATACGAGAAGACATATTTGAGTTTAGTCATCAAGAACATGTAAGTCACTCAACAATTAAAATAGGAATACCCACAGTCAGCTAGATTTTGTATAGAACAGAAAACATGCTCCCTGCCCAAGTTTGTCTTTAAATAGGAGTGGCAACATAAAGAAACCTCCTTGGTGGAGTGGTTTTTTATTTTGTTACTTTCGGGGTTGTGTTATTTGCAAGGGATGCAGTCCCACATAGCCGTGGGTCCTAATAACTCACTAGAGTACACCACCCAAGAGAGACCACTGGTTCCTTTAACACCAAGTACCAAAGAGCTATGGCAAAAGTATTCTTCAAATGTTACAACACTCACAATAAAGCACAGTAGAAATAACGTGGGGCACGCGCAAAAAAAAAAAATCCTTACTCCAGTCCCATCTCCTGGGCATCAATTCTTTCCTTCTCCCATCTCCTTGGATGCTTGGATAACCGTCAACATTTGGGATATTTCTTAATTTCTATTTGGGCTGTGATAAGGAAAACTGACACTACTGGGTTTAAATTGGTTCAACTCTTACTTTAACCACTTATATGTGTAGGCTGGAAGGATCGAAATACATTCCTATCTAGGTTTATTAAGTCCTTGTGACTAGGCCGAAGAGAAGATAATTCAGTTTGAGAACAGGACAATCAGCCTATTTGGTCATATCTCCCACAATCGACTGATACATATAAACAAGTGCTTAGTTCAGTACAAACACAGATCTTACAGGAGAGTGCACACTAGAGCACTACTGTTGAAATTTTTTTTCATAAAGAATGAAAACAAAGGACACTTCTCATATTGGAGTTACGTGTGTAGTTCTGTCACATGATCAACATCACCCAAGAACATGCTAATTCTGTGTGAATTCAGTTTCTGCTATTGGAAAAACCACAGGAACACACATTTTACTGTACATACACATGCCCTTACGCAAGCTAAGATAAACACTGGGATGTGGCCCTTATCAAATTCGAGAGTTAGCAGTATAGGGAGAATTGATCTTAAAGGGTAGAGGGGAAAGAACACAGAAATGGCCTGTGTTCCTTGGGAAGGGACTCTGTGCCTCCTTCCCTGAAGTGGTCAATTCCACTTACACTCCATCATCACTTATGGTCCTATCTTTCCTTGAAGATATTTTCCCTACAATGTTCCCTACAGTGATCCCCAAAGAAAATTAATAAATTATGATTAATGGCAATAACAGTGGACATCTCTTGCTAAAGTCACCACCGCTGATGAGTCCTTGGTCCCCAAACCTGTATCTCATTTTTTGTTTCAATCTGTATCTTCAGTTAGCTTTCACAAAGATGCAAGCTTTAAAAAAGTTAATTAGAAACAATGAGGAGAAAAGTTATGATCATTGCCTTCATTGTGCAGAAGAATCCTGCTCTCAGGAAGACAGGAAGATACAAACGCATGAGCAACTCAAGGAAACAGCCCTTTGAAGGGGAAGATGTGTGTACCAAACTACCATGGTGAGTGAATAGGTGTGGCAATTCAGGCCAAGTCTCTGGCTTCTTTTTCCAAAGCAGCTGTGACCACCCTATCACAGTCCAATATTTCCCCTAGCGTAGTTCTCTGGGCCAAGGATAGGAGAAAGAACTTTTAAAGATTTACTCCATTTCCAGGCCTGAGAATTTATCATCATTCATCTCCTGGTCTTCAGATTTCCAGTTACCCGTGGGGCTGATTTTGAGGAAGTAATTCGAGTGAATAAAAATCACTATTTTGGAGGAGCGGATAACATTCCCAAAGCTGTGGGTCAGAATTTCAAGTGGCTTGTCTTCTTTGACGTTTTAAACTGTGGCCCACAACAAGGAAACTCAGTATGGTAAAAGCAGCTCCAAGAGAGAGCTGTCTTGAGAGAGCTCTTTGATATCAATAAAATTGTACCTTCAAATGAATCATTTCTCAGTCATCATAATTACAGGACTTAGTCGGTGTGAACTCTCTTATGTTTAATAAGAGCTGAGCTCCGGCTGAAACTCTTCTCACATTCGGTACATTCATAAGGCTTCTCTCCTGTGTGAACCCTTTGATGAGTGATGAGGTTGGAGCTCTGGGTGAAACCTTTTCCACACTGCACACACTCATAGGGCTTCTCTCCTGTGTGGGTTCTCTGGTGTTTAATTAGATCTGACCTTTCACCAAAGCTTCGCCAACACTCATTGCACTCGTAGGGCTTCTCTCCAGTGTGAATCTTCTGGTGTGTGATGAGATGAGAGCTTCGGCTGAAGCTTTTCCCACAAGCATTACATTCATATGGCTTTTCCCCCGTGTGGGTTCTCTGGTGCTGAACCAAGTGTGAGATGCGGCTGAAATTCTCCCCACATTCATTACAGTGGTACGGCTTTTCTCCCGTGTGGGCTCTGCGATGGCGCACGAGGTCAGAGTTCTGACTGAAATTCTTCCCACACTCGTCACACTTGTAGGGCCTCTCCCCCGTGTGGACTCGATAGTGTTTGATGAGATCAGATCTCTCACTGAAGCCTCGCCCACATTCGTTACACTCGTAAGGCTTCTCGCCTGTGTGGGTCCTCTGGTGCTGAGCTAGGTGAGAGCTCCGGCTGAAGCTTTTCCCACACTCCTCACACTCATAGGGTTTCTCCCCACTGTGGGTCCTTTGGTGCTGGATTAGGTGAGACAGCCGGCAGAAACTTTTCCCACACTCGTTACATTTGTGGGGCTTTTCTCCAGTGTGGATTGTCTGATGCTGAATGAGGTGGGAGCTTCTTCCAAAACTTTTCCCACACTCATTACAGTCATAGGGCCTCTCCCCAGTGTGTGTTCTTTGATGCTGAATAAGGTGTGAACTCCGACTGAAGCCCTTTCCACATTCATAACACTTATAGGGTCTGTCTCCAGTGTGGGTTTTCTGATGTCGATTAAGGTCTGAGATCTGACTGAAAGCCTTTCCACAATGAGAACATATGTGATATCGGATGCCTGTGTGGACTTCTTTGTGGACAAGCAGATCGGTGACTTGTTGGAGAGGATAGCTTACCCACTCTTCTGCTGTTAGATCTCCCCATTGTCTTTCTGCTCTATCCCTGCTTTCAAAGGCCTCTTCACTTTCGGGATTTTCCTCAGTATTCTCAACAGGTCTTTCAGATGTGGTCCCAAATTCCACATCTTCACTAATCTCTTGTTTTGGATTCACTTCATTCTCACTCCTGATCTCAAAATCTGTAACAAAGGGTAAATAATAATACTGGTAAATACACACAAAAAATTACCTACTGTGTGCCAGGCACTGTGCTAAGTTCTTTACATGAATTACTTCAACCACCCTGAGAGTGAGGCATTATGATGATTTCCACTTTATGAATGAGAAATCCAAGACCCAAGGAGTGACTTGCAAAAGGTCATTTAGTGGTAATGGTGGAACTAGGATTCAAATCCAGGCAGGTCTAATAAAAGTTCATGCTCTGTTTCATTACAGTTAAAATGGTTCTTTATGAAAATTGTATATCTTCCTGGTTTTGAAAGAAGAAGACAACCAGAGATAGAAAATAGAAGAGACTCTAAGTTAGAATCTCTAAAAGCCAAGAGCCTAGATATTTTTTGTGTGAATGCATGTGAGTGTATGTATATGTTCTTGTCAAGCCTTCATCATTACTATTATATGATATTTACTAAGAACCTACTGGGTTAGCACAGAGAAAAATGAATCTTTATCGATCTATACTAAGTCTTTTTTTTTTTTTTAAAGATTGGCACCTGAGCTAACAACTATTGCCAATCTTTTTTTTTTTCCCTGCTCTTTCTCCCCAAATCCCCCCAGTTCATAGTTGTATATTTTAGTTGTGAGTCCTTCCAGTTGTGGCATGTGGGACATCGCCTCAGCGTGGCCTGATGAGCGGTGTCATCTCCGTGCCCAGGATCCGAACCAGCAAAACCTGGGGCTGCCGAAGCAGAGCACATGAACCCAACCACTCAGCCAAGGGGCTGGCCCCTATACCAAGTCTTAGTTGACAGGTAAAGTGACTGCCAAATGTTACTTGCTACTTTCCAGTGGCTTTTTATTGAAAATAGAGGTGGCAAGGCTGGAGAAGGCAAAAAAGATACCTGGCTCAGAACATTCTTGGCATTGACTAAGTACAGTCTTTAAATGAAAATCAAAATACACAACCACTGTCTACAAGAGACTTTCTACCAGACACTGCATTTTACAAGCTGTGTTTCTTGGTACACTCTTCAGAAAGAGGTTACTAGGTATGCTGGGAGAAAAGGGTCCCTCTTCTTAGAAATTCACAATGCCTCATAACACATTAAAGAGTCTGAAGACTCTTGAAGTAAAGGAACTTTGTAAACATTATTTAACCCATTCCTGAATTTATCTGGGCAAGAAACTTTTTTTTCTCTTTTTTCTTTTTGGTGCTTCCATGCTTCCATCCTTCTAACAAATGCTCCTTGGGCTGGACCATACACATATAAATTCACATTTCTTTAAGAGTCTCATTTCTTGTTTTTGTTGGATTGAAGGGAATATTTGGGTTACAGACTGCAATAGATCTAGGTAGATAACTTCATTTCTAGTTGCTTTTCTAAAGGAAGGATCCAAGAAAGTTGGGACATCAGAGAGCGCTCAAGTTAAAAAGAAAATCCTTCACAGTCACCTTTTGTCCTGGAAAAGGCTATAGGAATAAAGATCTCAGAAAAAGGATTAGTCCTAATGAGTGACAGATGACCCAGTGAACATCCATGGTTGCTAACTTCTGTCAAGTCCTAACAGGAGATAAAGTGAGTCAAAGACTGTTCAGCTCAAGAAGTTAACTGTCTATTCTAGTTACACCCAGATGAAAGGATAGGCAAAAGACAAGTTTGCAGATGATCAAAAAAATTAGCTTCCCTCTCTAATAGAATTTGTGATCTCATTTAGTTCAAGATTCTCCTGGAACAACATCTGACACACTCAAAATGTATGATCAACTCTGAAACATCTCTAGACAAGTACCTACTCCACGTAAATAAAGGACCTCAGGCAAAGCTGGGGCTCTGAAGCCAAAACAAACACAAAGAGGTGGCTTTTGCCCTCCCATGAACCTGGGTCTGAACCCCCTCATCTTCTAGTAAAAGCGCTGTTTACAGGGGCATTTATATCCTGGCAAGCACCATTATGTCAGACCTGTTTGGTCAGTGATCTGTACAAACAGGCTGGAGAACGGCAAATGACTCAGGGCCCAAGAAATCTGAACGTTTCTAACATGTGCAGAAACATTCTTTCCTTTTAGACAACATGACCTTGATGTTTCCACACTCAAAGATTTGCCTGAGGACTCCACTCAGGCCAATATCCAAGTAAGTGCTTTAAAAAAATCAAACTACTAAGTTGTGTTGAAAGAACTAAGCCATTTTTGACACAGTCTCAAAAACGTGGGTTGAAGAAAGGTGGAGAATCTTTACTTACCTAAAGAGACAACGTTTCCATAATTCTCCTGCATAACATCCCTGTAAAGGTCCCTTTGTGTAGGGTCCAGAGGTCTCCACTCCTCCCGGGTGAGGTACATGGCCATGTCTTCAAATGTCACAGGTGCCTGAAATCACACAATGCTTCCTCATTACCTGGTATCTAGGAGGCTCGTACCAGCTTTTCTTCTTGAAATTAGACACATGGCTAGAAGTGTCGAGGAAGCAAAAGGTATTAAATCTGATCTGGGGAGTCCAAAGAAGAAATAAACAAGCAAAAAAGAGATGGGGTAAAGAAGGGAGCAATTTACAAGCTGACTGCTCTGGCCTCATAACCTGATATCCCTGCCCTACTCTGGAACCTTCTCCTCGTCATATATTTCTCAGAACACATTTAGCAGCTACATCACTCCATACCTTTACTCACAATGTTCCTCTTTACCTGGAATATCTTTCTCAGACTAGTGAAATCCTGCTATTCTTTAAGGCCCTGTTCCAGTACCAACTGTTCTTCAATGCCCCACATCCCTCTGCTTTGCTCCACTCCTCCCTTGGACCCCTCAGATAGAATTAATCACTCCCACTTCTTGGTTCCCACACCACCACAACTTTGCTCCATGGCAAATGTTGTTATCACGTTGTATCACGGCTTACTAGATGCGTCTGTCTCCCTACAGATTATAGCAGGCGGGGAAAGCCCGGGCCAGTTTCATCCATCTTTTGTCTCCCCATTATTTAAAGGCATACAGCAGGTGTTCAATAAATGTCTGTGGCTGTACTGGCCTGGTACTGGGTCCCTGGAGGCAGAATACCGAAGCGAGCGAATTACTAACTCCAGGGAATTTCCCATCGGGATTTGGAGAGCAAAGAAACGCCGGGACGAGATGGGTAAGCAGAGGCAGGGTCCGAGAAGCCACCCCCGGCTTACCTGGGACCCAGCCATGAGCAGGGTGGCTGCCATCTCGGGCTCAAGGATCCGCCTCCCGGGAGAGAGAGCAGGAAAAGCAGCTAGCAGACAGCGCTAGAGGAGGCGAAAAGCAGGGCGTGAGGCACAGAAAACAGGCCCTGCCCACTCCCCAGGGCTGGAGTTCTGGCCGCCAGGCGGGTGGGGAGGGCCCTGGACCCGGGCTGGGTCACTCTCCTCCCTGACCCTCGAGCGCGACCCGCCCTCTGTGTCTCCGCCACCATGGGGTGGAGGCAATGCCGGAGTTTACTGAGACAGCCCCCTGGCTCGGTCCCTCCCAGGCCCGGGGTCAAGCAGATGCTGTCTCAGGGAGGAGGCTCTCAACCCAGCCCACAGAACGCCTCCGCTCTTCAGAACGCCTCAGCTCGAGGCTGGGCCCTTTCCGGCAGCTGCGTCAGCCAATCAGCGAGCAAAGCTCGGAAAACGCTCTGCCAATTAGATGCCGAACACTAGGCCCGCCTCTTGTAGCACGGCTGAGCCCCTTTACCACGCTTGCGCCCGCCCCCATGGCCTGCCGGGAGTTGGAGTTCCGTACCGGCGTACAAAGGCCAGTCGGAGGCCAAAAGCCAAAGAGGGAAAAGAACAAAAGGGTGAAGAAAGCAGCGCGTCCTCCTAGCTAGGACAGAGTATCTGCTGCTTTCTTCTCTTGGAGACCACAGCCCGATTAAGCCAGGGCGGTTGCCCTGCTTCTCCTCTCCTCACTAGAAGCTTATCTTGAGTCGGACCTAAACTGCGACGTCGGGCCTAATTTAGGCGCTGGCCTGTATTGGGTTCCGCTAGGATTAGCTCTCATTTGGCAGCCCAGGCCTGAGAGGAAAGCGGCAGCCGCCCACTCCCCAGGGGAGACTCAGCGGCCGCGCTGGAACTTTGAGCTCCGCCCATGCACTACATCTCCCGGCGGCGCCTGCGGCGTTGGCTCCCCGCTACGCAGACTACAACTCCCAGGAGGCCCCGCAAGGCCCGCTGCGAGCGAGTGCGGTCAGCGGCTGGGCCAGGCTGTGTCCGGGCTCCATCGCTGTTAACCCTATAGGCGCGTCCGACTGCGTCCTTCTAAAGAGGGCGCCCCTTGAGGAGTGGGCTGAGTTGCACCCAGCGTGGGGCAGGGGGAGGGGGGACCCTAAGGGCAATCAGAAGCGAGGGTGGGGGATAGGGCGCGTAAGGAGGAGCGCGCCAGCCCCTGCGCTGGGACGGGCTGTCCTTATCATCCCTGGAGGGGTTGTCTGCTAAAAGGGTTCTTGGTGGCCTCCCGCACCGCTGGGATAGTGCGCCTCTGAGGGCCTGAGCCGGGCGGGCCCTTGGGATGTTAGCAGTTCCTGACCGGCTGGAGGTAGGAAGCCGAAAACCCGAGTTGGGAACCAACAGACTTACCACCTGGCCCGCAAAAAATCCGCTGGATCAGCGGCTCCAAGATCCGAGAGGCCTCGAACAGATTCCAGATCCGCAGGCAGAGTTCTCTGAGACTTAAGGCGTTCGGAAAGGTTCTAGAGATCTCTGGCAGATCCCGGATAGACCTGCGGGTAGCTCTCCAATCCGTAGACTTGCAGGCAAAGCCCAGAGATCGTAGGCAGATCCCAAAGACTCGCAGATTCCCGAGAGCTCAGACTCTTAGGCAACTCAGAGAAACCACAGGCTCATAGGCAGATCCCTGAGAGCACAGCAGCTAGCCAAGAAACACCACCAGCAGCTAAGCTGCATTCAATTGGAGTTCCTCCGAACGGAAGGACTTGCAGCCTTTCCTCTCCCCAGCCAGGATGAGAAAATTAGACAATGGAAGCCGAGGACTGGGGAAAGCAGGCATTCTGCGTGGGGAAGAGCTCTGAGCTCGCTGTAGCCTTGGAGAGGGAAGTGATGGAAAAAGAATATAGCAGCTTATTAGGGACTCCCACCCTCTTCAAGTTATAAATATCCCCAGAACCTTGGCTACGTGCCCAGAAGCCTGTTGTCTCTTAACTGTACAGGAGACTTCTCTGCTTGGGCTGGGAAAGGGGCTTTTCTTTTGTTTTGCAGATACATCCACCCACTCAGTGACTTGAATTTTTTTTTATCGAACATGACTCCAGGCTATGCTTTTATTAGTTAGTGTCCTGTTCCCAGTGCCCAGTTATTTATGGTTAAATTACTCAAGTGTCTAAAAAGAACTAGGACCCTACCCAGCCATGAGGCAAACTCTCCCACTCCTCACGCCCAACTGTGAGGCTAGGAATTCTTTAGATAGCACAGAATTGTACCGTCCTACCCCATCTAAAATTGATGCGGGTACCACAAAAAATGGAATCGTAGAGGGTTCCCAAGAGGCAGTGTCCCTAATGGGGAGAGTGTGGGCAGCAAGGGCAGACAGACTTGGTTGGAATCTAGGCTGTGTATCCTTTGGAAAGCCATTTAACCTCTCCAGGCCCATTTCTTTTTCTGTAAAATGGGGTAACCATACCCAAGGCGATGGTGAGCACTAAGTGAGATGACTCAAAGCGCTCCACACGGGGTAGGCACTCAGATAACTGTTATTATTATCAATCCTGCCTTTCGCAGCAGGGGAGACTTCCAGAGAGGCCTGTGGGTGTTTTCACTGGCTCTGAAAGGCTGGGAAGTCAGAGCGGCGCCATAGCTGTGAGGATCTGCGGGCGACCTTTTCCTCACACAGTGCTTCGGCTGGAAATTCAGAGGGATCTGGGACTTGGGCCAGTTTGGTGGGTTCAAGCGAATGGTGTTTTGAGCCGAGTAGAGCAGAGGTATTTGGGGCTGCCAGAGACCCAGCGAACTGAGGCTTCACGCTCAGGGAAATCTGGGACGAGGAGGAGGGGGATTGGTTCAGACTTCGGCTAAGTAATTGCAGGTTTCCAAGCGCGCCTAAGGTGAGGCGAGTGCCCCAGCCCGTCAGCCCAGCGGGCCTCCCTTTTCAGTCCTTCTCTGACAGATTGCTTTGTAAACTTTCTCGGGCCTTTTCTCCCCCTTGTTCCAGTGCTTTAAGCCCTCCTTTGTCCTCTCGCTGTTTCTTTTCTTCCTCAGGCCTGCCTGGGGGCAGGACGCCTCTCTAAGCCCAGCTTGGCTGCTTGCCTCCTTCTCTAAGTGCTTTTCTCTCTCTTCACCTGGGACCCTCCCGAGAGTGGAGGAGAAGAGAGGCAGAGAGTGGATGGGAAGCGGACTGCGTTTGGTGCCCCTGGCTGGGGGTGGGGGGAGGGTAGTAGGGAAGAGGCGGAGGAAAGACCGTGGGTGAGGGGCTTCCTGTTGCAGCCTTCAGCTGGACCCTGAGGGCTGGGGTCACTGGAGGAGGAGGTGGCTTCCTGCCCCATTGTTCAGGACTTCATAGTTTCTCAGGAATACTTATTGTGCATGAGTTTTCAATAACCAACTGGGAAAGCTGTATTTGTTCCTATCGTTCAGCAAACAGTGAGCACCTACTGAGTGCAGAGGCAGCAACACAGCCTATCACTGGGGAGAGGGGCCGGGAGAACCATTCGGCCATGGTCTCCAGTCTAGGCTTCTGACATCATCTCCAAATAGCGTTATATGTTATGTCGGATCTACTGACCAATTTGACCCAAGACCCTCCTTGCTGATGCGTGAACTTGTTTCTTATTAACCGACCACTGTGCCTGTGGAGCACTATAAATTATATTTTAATAAATCCTATAATTACCTTGTGAGCAGCACAATTATGTTGTAATTTTTGGTATTAGGAGCATTAATTTGTTCACATTGAAAAACATGCCTCAATGTTTGTGATCTTGCTTTGTCATCGCTTCATTTTCAAATATACCAGGAACATCAAAAAGATCGGAGTGACTCAGGCTTTTCACCCCTGCTAGGAGCAGAGATGAAGCCTCCTCACAGCACAGGGAGTTGGGGACATGGGGGACACACTGACTTGTGAACAGTCATTGCAGTCCAGCTGCTCTGCTATACGGGTGAGCTAGCTTGTCTACACCGAGCAGGGGGCGAGCTCAGCTGGGGGCAGGGGAGGAGGCTTCACCGAGGAGGTGACATCTGAGCTGACTTGCAAAGCCTGTAGGAGTCTTGGAGGTGGAGAACGGAGGGGAGGGAAAGCATTCCAGTCTTCAAGAACAGCATGTGCGAAGTCACGGAGGCGTGAAAGACAGAGCATGTTCCAGAATGGTCAGGATTGGGTATGACTAGAGGGAAGAGTGTGGGGGTGGAGTGGCAGGGGGAGGAAGCAGAGCAGGGACAGTCTCTTAGGTCCCCTTGCCTGCCTGCCTGTTTGTCTCTGCCTTGGGCTGTGGATCAGCAAAGCTGATGATGAGGTGCAGCTGGGGGGCGGCCTGGGGGCTGCCTGGGGTGAGCACAGCAGGCTGACTCTGCAGGAGGGGCAGGGAGCAGAGAGGACTGGGCCACTCTTTATGATCTCGTGCATTTCAGCTGGTTTTCTCCAGAGAGAATCAACATTTTCAAAAATGTAAACAGTTGCATTAAAAATGTACAACAAACTTAACTAGTATTGTCTAGCCTTCTAAAAGGCACCAAATACGCCCATATTCTCTGAACGTGTTTACTGTGTCTCTATTCTGTACAAGACACTGTGCTGAGAGAGAGGACACCACGCCTCACAATGACTGCAAGGCCGTTGTGAGGATTAAATGTGAGAATGGCTGCAAAATGCATGGGCACAGAGGAGGGCCTTGGCACACAGCGGCCATCACCGTTATGGGGGAGGTAAAACGCATCACAGATGCTCTGTAAGGTGAAGCCATATTTCAGAGTGGCTCAGAGTACCAATGGGGGCCTGGTTTCAAGTCCAGATTCTGTCTCCTAGAAGCAAATTACTCTCTGAACCTTGGTTGTCTCCGTCTGTAAGAAGAGTTTAGCAATACAATTCATAGAGACAGAAAGTAGACTGGTGCTTGCCAGGGGCGGGGGAGGAGGACGGGGAGGTGTTTAATAGGTACAGAGGTTCAGTTTTGCAAGACGGAAGAGTTCTGGAGATTAGCCGCACAACAATGTGAATGTGCTTGACATTACTGAACTGTGTACACTTGAACATGGTTAAGATGGGGCCGGCCTGGTGGCATAGTGGTTAAGTTTGCATGCTCCACGTCGGCAGCACAGGTTTCACAGGTTTGGATCCCAGGCACAGACCTAGCACCACTCATCAAGCCATGCTGTGGTGGCATCCCACATAAAATAGAGGAAGATGGGCACAGATGTTAGCTCAGCGACAATCTTCCTCAAGCAAAAAGAAGATTGGCAACAGATGTTAGCTCAGGGCCAGTCTTCCTCACAAAAAAAGGAAAAAAAATGGTTACGATGTCAAATTTTATGTTTATTTTACCATGATTTTTTTAAAAAGATTATATTAATAGTATCCTAGTTCATGGGGTCTGAGGGTTAGTTGAGACAATATAAAGTACTCCCCTATACTCATAGTAATAACAATAGCTGATGTTTACTAATCAGGTACTTTGTGCCAGGCATGATTCCAATGAATTCTCACAACAACCCTTTGAGCTAGGTGCTGTCACCACCAGTTTACAGATGAAAAACGGAGGCATGGAGAAGTTACATAATGTGCCCAAGATGCCTAGCTAGTAAATGCTCAATAATTAGTAGCTATATTGACACTATCACACAAAGAAGTCGTCATCGTTCTCATCATCATGGCAGAATGCAGTATAGTTATCAGTTTCACAGCACTGTGGGAGTTCTGAGAACTGTCTCTATGTCCAGGGGATCGGAGAAGACGTCATGGAAGACGTGCATCTGAGGTGAGCCTTGAAGAAGGGGTGAGATTTGGACCGAGGTCGGGGAGGGGGAATCAGAACAGGTGACCACAGTTGGGAAGGACCATCAGGTGTTCAAGAACAGGGCAGATACCATCCTTAGGCTGGAGTGAAGGGGCAGCGGGGTGGAAGACAAGCCACCAAAGACAGGCAGGAGGCAGAGGGAGGGGAGCTTTCAAAGCCGAGCCAAGGAGCTTGAAACTTATTTGACAGCTGCTGGACGTCCACTGAAGGTGCTCGGGGGGAAAGCACAGAGCCCTGCAGGGCAGATGCATGAAAGGGAGGCAGTGCTCTGAGTTGGGAGACCAGTAGAAGGTCTTTGCAGCAGTTCAAGAAAAAAGAAAACCTGAAAGACAGTGTTGCTGGTAACGGCAACAGAGAAAAGGGTTGGATGAGGGAAAGGCTGTAGAATTGGTAACTGATAAGGTGAAGACGGTAAGGGGAAAGGGTCAAAGATGGTTCTAAGTAATGAACTAGTTGGCAAATAAAAAAGAAGAGAGCATTTAATGTTTGTTTTTGTTTTTGTTTTTGAGGAAGATTAGCCCTGAGCTAACTACTGCCAGTCCTCCTCTTTTTGCTGAGGAAGCCTGGCCCTGAGCTAAGATCTGTGCCCATCTTCCTCTACTTTATATGTGGGATGCCTACCACAGCATGGCATGCCAAGCGGTGCCATGTCCACACCCGGGATCCGAACTGGTGAACCCCGGGCCGCCAAGAAGCAGAATGTGCGAACTTATCCGCTGTGCCACCGGGCCGGCCCCAAAGAGAGGATTTAAGAAAGAGAAGATGTGAGTTAAGTTTCAGATTCTTTGGATTGAGAGGGCCGGTGGGGTACTTAGAGGAGATATCCACATAGGCACTTGGTGATGAAAGTCTTGAGCTCAAGAAATCTCAGGGTGGGGGGCCAGCCCAGTGGCCTAGTGGTTAAGTTTGCCACACTCTGCTTCGGCGGCATGGGTTTGGTTGCTGGGTGCAGACCAACACTGCTCAGCGGTGGCCATGCTGTGGCGGCGACCCACATACAAGATAGAGGAAGAGGGCTGGCCCTGTGGCCGAGTGGTCAAGTTCATGCGCTCTGCTGCAGGCGGCCCAGTGTTTCGTCAGTTTGAATCCTGGGTGCGGACATGGCACTGCTCATCAAACCACACTGAGGCGGCATCCCACATGCAACAACTAGAAGGACTCACAACTAAGAATATACAACTATGTACCAGGGGACTTTGGAGAGAAAAAGGAAAAAAATAAAATCTTAAAAAAAAAAAAAGAGGAAGACTGGCACAGATTTTAGCTCAGGATGAATCTTCCTCAGCAAAAAAAGAAAAGAAAAGAAATCTCAGAGCTAAAGACAGATTTGGTAGTCTGAATGAGACTACTAGGACTTCTCATTCCATATGGTATTTTAGGTTCCTGTAACTTTTTGAAAACATCTTCTTCATTGGTCATAGGATCTTGAATGTACTTTTGTTTTCAAGGTCTTTTGGCCATGACATTCCTGGAGAGACGTTCTCTCCTCCATCCCAAGCAGGTTGCCTCTCTGTTTCACTTCACCTAACCTTGAGTTTTTCCTCCTGTAAGGTAGCACTCTCCCCTCCCCTGGGAAGCATTTCTGGGTGGCAAAAGTTGATGCTAGCTGCCTGGCGGCTCACACCCTCTTCCCCTTTGATATGAAGGAGGAGATGGGGTTAAACCGTGTGTTCCAGTCAACAGCGTAT